CATCCACTGTTACCACATATATCTATCATGGCCTGGATTATACGTATACTTTGATCCAACACCGACTTGAGGTCTGTAACATAGTCACTGATTGGCAACTCTAACTGAGAAAAGTGTGCCTGTATCCCAAATATCATACATTGTAAGAGGAATGAAAAAAGGAGCAAAAGGAGACACAATTAAACAAAAAAAACCCTAGTCATCATGTTTAAACGTAGTTTAAAATTTTGGTAACCTGAAAAAGAAGATTTGCTTTAACATGTGGATCATCTAGGCGATTCTTATCCACCACATATGGGACTTGCTTAGACAATGCTTCATTGTAATTTTCCTACAAACAAACAATATTCAGTGACAGGGACACATCCCATGAGTATCTCAATCACATTTACTAAGATACAAAGAGTACAGCTAATAACTCACATAGCATATATATGTATAATAACTTATATATGCGAATGTCAGCTTTTACAATCCTTGATAAAAGATCTTTATTTTGATTGGTGTTGGAAAATTCAAAACGACTTCAATAATTCTACAATGAGCGTTTGTCAATTTCTTCCCCTTCTCATAAATCAAATGAAAATGGTCTAACACTAGCTTCTTCTCGTCAAAGTCAATTGGAAATGGGCGTGCCAAGTATTGAAAATATTATATCACAAAAAGAAACATGTGCATTGGGAATTGTTAACCCACCATCTACTCCAAAAGTTTAAGGTTAGAGAGGGTGTAACTTAAGTATTTATACTTCAACACACCTACTCATGTGGAGGCTAAATTTTGAACCTAATACATGAAAATCTTTTAATAATTAGAATGGCAACAAGATTTGAATATAGCATTTACTACTTTGATATCATGTTATAGAATTATGGTTTGGCGAGAGGAGAACAGTGAAGGCACAAAACCTACTACTGCCCATACTCATCCATATGTTTGTAAAAAAAAAATAAAGGACTAATATACCCCTTAAGGTATATATTTATTACAAGCCAACCACTCTCCTATATATTCTAACACTCCCCCACGAATATATTTCCATCTTGGAACAAATATCTCTCAGTTGAGGACTATTCAAGGATTTTGTAAACATATTTGCAAGTTGATCTTCCGATCTAACAAATGGTGTTACAATATCTCCACTCAATAGCTTCTTTCCAACAAAGTGACAATCAACCTCAACATGTTTCGTTCGTTCATGAAACATCAGATTAAGAGTCTATATAAATAGTAGCTTGATTATAACAAAATAACTGAAATGGAGTTGAAACTGAAAAACTAACTTCTTGAGGTAAGTGTTGTAGGCAAGTTAATTCATTGCACGTGTGAACCATTGCCCAGTACTCAGCTTCTACACTAGACAGCATAACCACTATCTCCTTTTTACTCTTCCATGTGATCAAATTATCTCTCAAAAAAGTACAATAACCTGTAGTAGATAGTCAATCTAAGGGAGAACCTATCCAATCTATATCTGTGAACCCTTCCACCCGAAAATGCCCATGTGATTGATATAACAATCCAAGTCTAGGAGCTCGTTTGAGATACCAAATAATACAAATAACATCCTATTGTGGTACTCGGGGAGCTTCCATAAATAGACTTATTACACTCACGACCAAGGATCAAAATATCGTTTCGGTATATTATTTCAGTCACCTAAGAAACAAAAATGTTTCGACGTATTTCGGAAACGTTTCAACCCATTTCGAAACATAATGAAAAAAATAAAAAATTTAAGAATTATTTTTTCAAAACATTGATGAAAATATATCAAAGTATCTTGAAATATCTTGAAACATTCCAAAACAATTGTGCAAATGCATTAAAATATTAGAATAAATTTAAAAACATTATGGAATACCTCGAAATATCAGAATTTCGATTTCATCACTGTTTCGTTTTGGTCTCCTTGGAAATGAAAATATTTCGGACGTTTCGACCGTTTCAAAACGATATTTTGATCCTTACTCACGACATATGAGATATAAAAGTCAGTAATAATGAGGTAAACAATTTTCCAACTAAACGACGATACCATCCCGAATCTGAGAAGCACTCACCTTCGGTCACTGCGAGTTTATGGTTGGGATCCATTGAGATATTAACTGGTCAACCACCTAAAAGTTCTATTTCATCTAAAAGATCAAGTACATACTTTCAATTTAGATCTGATAACTTCAATACCAATAAAATATCTAAGTTTGCCTAGATCCTTGGTATCGTCAACATAAACAACAAGAAGGATATTGCCAGCACTATGTTTGACGTCTATGGAGACCAAAATCTAACACTACCTCTAGAAACTTTCCAAACCATGCTCTTGGAGACTATTTTAGCTCATTCGGGGCTTGCCTCAATTTGCATACACTCTGCCCAGATACTCTCCCCTCGCCAAACCCAAGTGGTTGCTCCATGTAGACATTTTCGGCCAAATCACCATGTAAGAAAGCATTCTTAACATCTAGCTAAAACATGGGCAAATAACGAGTAACAGTAAGAGAAATCAAAACCCGGACATAAGAGATCTTAGCAACTAGGGAGAAGGTCTCCCTAAAATCAACACCATATATATAAGTATGACTGTAAACACGTAAAGGCGTGATAGACACAGTTGAGGAGGTTGGATCCAAAGACAACGAAGAAGCTAGTGGTAGAGCTATAGCAGGTGGCCTCATATGACTGTAAACACGTAAAGGTGTGATAGACTCCTGGAGTCGAGGATTATGTGGAGGTGAACAGAGGATCGAGGGAGAAAGAGGAATAGAGGATAAAAGAACTGGAGCCAGAAGTGGAAGTGGGTCGGACAAGGAGATAACTCAGTAATACACTTAAAAGGAATGAATGGCCAAGAAAAAGAGGGTGTAGATTCCTAGAAGGTAACGTCTGCACTAATGAAATACTTGCGAAATGTAGGACCATAACAACGGTAACACTTTCTGAGTACGGAAGTAACTAAGGAAATTTCACGTAGTGGCACAAGGATCAAGTTTATCAAACCCAATACCAAGATTGTAGACATAGGAAACATAATCATATACTTTAGGAGGGAGGAAAACAATACAGAATTAAGAAACAAAATAGAGTGAGGAGTTTTTCCATGTAAGACAATGAATGACATTCTATTAACAAGACGACAAGTAGTCAACACAACATCACCCCAAAATCGAGGAGGAACATGCATATGAAATAAGAGTACTCGAGTCACATCTAATAAATGACTATTGTTTCACTCAGCGACACTATTTTGTTGTGGTGTGTGAACACAAGAAGTTTGATGTACAATGTGTTTTTGATGAAATAAGTCTGAAAAGGATTGGAGGTATACACTTTGACATTATATGATCATAAAACATGAATGTTGCATCCAAATTGTGTATTAACCTGCTTACAAAACAACTAGAAAATATAAAATAATTATGACCAAGATTTTATAAGAAATAACCAAGTCATACAAGAACGATCATCCACAAAGGTCACAAAGTATCGAAATCCACTAAAAGAAGAATAGTTTGGAGGACCCCATACACCAGAATGAACTAATCAAAAGGGGTAGAGACACGATTCATGCCCCGTGCTAATCTTCTTTTTCGTCCTGAGACCTTGGAAGATACAAACAGACGGATAAAATGTTAATAAGCGATTAAGAGACCGAGTAGTCTTACTAATTATTAGTAAGCTAAAGGGAAACTGAAGAATAAACAAAACAAAAGATAAGGATAAAGAGAGACTAAGCTATGTAGTACTCAAACCTGAAACTAGTGATGACAAACCATTCGCAAGAGTAATACTGCGTGATGGGGTAACCGGATGAAAATTAGATAAATGACCAAAAGTGCCAATTATATGTTCTGAAGCTCCCAAATCAATGATCCACTAGCTGGAAGTAGAGGACATCAAACAAGTAGATGTTTTACTTGACTAAGCAAAGGTAATAGTAGATAAAGATCGGGCCTATGTTTGAGACAATAACTGAGCATACCCAACCCAGGAGATAGAGTAAGATCAACAGTGAGGGACTGATTGGATGTAGAAGATGGAACAAAGGAGGAACATGTTCCTGATAAGAGGCCTGATGAGCTGAGACCGACTGTTTATCATGTAAGTCCCAACAATAATCCACAGTATGATTATTTTTACCACAATGAGTACACTTGCGAGTGTCACGACTTCCTCTACCACTATGACCTCCATGAGAACTACTAGATCCACTACAAGTGTCACGACCTCCACTAGAACCGCTAGATCTACCCCGAGATGCAACTAAAGCTGAACGATCACCGACAGGATCAATATTCAAATGAGAGTGATGATCTGATAGGGTAGCCCACTCAAGTCAAAAAAATACCTCAGGAAGGGAGGGAAACTTGGGGCTTCACAAAATTTGTGCACGGATAGGCTCATATTCGGGTTTTAACCCCAATAAAAACTGGACAACATCAAGGTCTTCACGTTGTTGTTGCATACATGAAATATTAGTAGAGATCGTGTGATACATCTTAAGTTCTTCACATACTCCCACAACCTTGGAGAAGTACTTCTCAAGACTCAAGTACCTTATTCTAAACCAAAGTACCCCCCTGCACACCTCATAAACACGTGTGACATTGCCCGTACGAGAGTACGTTTGAGTCAATCGATCCCAAATCTCTTTGGTAGTGCCTAGATAAATCATGGTAAAACTTATGTGAGGCTCAATACTATTTAACATGAGTGAAATAATCTGTGTTATCTTCCGGCTCCCATTGGGCAAAACCAAGATCATTGTCCTTGGATTTATCTTTTACCACATGCTTATAAAGTCCCTTACCCTTAAGAATGACTTCAACCAACCAAGCCCATAAGAATAATTGCTGCCTAAAAGTTTAACTGTAGTCATGGGAGCATTAAAGAAAGAAGCTGAGGAAAAGTTTGGGGAAAGGCTTGGAGTATTTGCCTGATCTACCTTTTCTGCTTGATCTGCCTTATAATTCATGCCAAGAAATAGAAGTTAAATCAAGCTAAATATGTGCTAGAAACAGCTGAACTGCTGCAGATCTGTAAGATGTAAGGGCCAATATGAAGGAACCAGTGCTAAACAAGAAGGAACCAATGCAGATAAGGCCTGAAAAAGCCTGAATCGAACCAGAAAATGTATCAGGAAGCCTGAACTGGACCATAAAATGCAGCAGAAAGCCTGAACTGGAACAGAAAATGTAGCAGGAAGCCTGAACCGGAACAGAAATTGAGCAGGAAGCCTGAACCGGAACAGAAATTGAGCAGGAAGCCTGAACCGGAACAGAAAATTGAGCAGGAAGCAAGAACCAGACCAGAAAATGGAGCAGCAAGCCTGAACCAGAGTAAAAAATTGAGTAGCGAGCCTGAACCAGAAACAGAAAGTACACCAGGAAGCCTGAACCAGAAGCAAGGAAAGCTTTGGAAGCCTGAACCGACAGAGAGGAAGCCATCTGGGCACTGAACCGGTAGAAAAATTACCTAGATCAAGCTGAACCGATCTGAACCGAATTAGAATGGAGCTGAACCGGTTTGACTGAACTGGTCTGATCTCTTCACTTTGGGCATGAACCAAATCAGATTGGGCTGAATTATATGGGCTAGACTACCTGTCTCGAACCTGAAGCAGGTGGACTGGGCTGATTGAACTCCTTAAACAGAATAGGGTCAATCTGATTGGGCTTTACTGGATTAAACACAAACCACAAATTGGATTAGATATCCACCAAGGAAGATGCTACACATGGATAGGATTAACTGTCCTTGTAGCCAAACACCACCGTCTTCTTCACCAGTGCATATCACGACCACCAAAATTCGCTGCCGGCAACCACGATACAAAAGAACAATTAAACCTACAATGCTGCAACTCACTCCCAGCCACAGCGAGTTGCAATCAACTACGAACAACAGCGACACATAGACCTTCAATGATCCACCACACCGGCGACCAACAGTAACTTGGCTAGGAGGAACTTAACGCCCAGCCATCAACAATTCTTCAACAGATCTGCAACTTTGACAGATCTCAAAATCCGAAGATTCTCACACACTAATGCAAAAAAGGAAAAAAAAAAGGAAAGAAAAGAAAGATCAAGGAAAGAAAGAAGGAAAAACAGAGAAAGAGAAGTAGAGATTATTAGAGTAGCTCTAAATACCATGTGAAACAACCATCTACTCTAAAAGTTTAAATTGTTAGAGAGGGTGTACCTTAAATATTTATACTTCTACTGGAATAAAATATGTTAATGTCGACGGTGCTTAGAAGTCATTATAGAATGGAAGAAAAAGGCAATTAAGGCCTTGGGAGAAATTCATCTCATTATGAGAGTCTTGAATTAGCTAGGGTTGCTGGAAGAAAAAGTCCAGGACTCTACAGTGGTTAAGGCACAGGAAGATACCTTCTAAAAAGAAGTAGCTGGGACGCATTAGCATTTCATGGGGAATGTTACCACCCCTAGGCATCTCACGGTCAAAAATGTTCTAGATGTTCTGCTTATTTAATTTTTTTTCATTCAATCCCATTTTTTTTCAAATCTTCATTAAGGATGTCTAAACTTCTTGCAGATCCTCTTATTTTCATTTTTCAACGATATGTTTTCATTCAGAGTACAATGAACTTCTTTTCTAAGCATTAGATCAGCGAGATACCAAATGAATCAAAGGCACCTCCAAAATATACGTAAATAAACAAAACCAATAAAATACAAGAAATTGATTTGCATACCCTGTGTGAAATTAAAAAATAACTAGCCGATGTTTACGCTAAAGGGCTTAGTAGCAACATTTTTCACCCCATTGTTGGCAAGTTGGGTATAAGGAATATCTATACACCAACTTGAGTGGAGTGCTAATGTTATGCTTTATTTTTGCTTGAGGGTATTTTAGGATGTTAACCCACCATCTACTCTAAAAGTTTAAGTAATTAAAAAGAGTGTAACTTAAGTATTTATACTTCAAAGGTAAATTATATTGACACCCCTATATATTGGTCTAATTACAGAGACACCCTCTCAGTTTTCTGAAATTACACTGACACCCCTTTTTGTTTACCTACCCATTTCACAAAGTACCCCTATAATTAGCATCATTATTAACAATGTCCAAAAAGTGATAACATCAACTTTTTACACTTTAATACCCATATTACCCCTAAATAAAATCAGGCTAAACTATTTATTTTCATATCGTGTTCGCGTTTGTATTCATGGTTTTTTTTTTTGATAACGTGGAATCTCTCCAAGGCAGGGGCACTTTGGACCCATCCCTGCAAGAGTAAACCTCGGATACTTGCAATCACCTGCAAACCACATGCGTCGATTAAATCTGAGATACACCAGCGAGAGTTGAACCCCTGACGTCCAGGTCTACAGTTCATCTCGGTTCAACTCCACATCATTGGGCTAAGCATGCGGGTGTGTTCGTATTCATGTTGAACCATATAAACTTTGAATAAAAAAATTTAACGCTAAGATTAAACTTTGAATAAAAAAATGTAACGCTAAGATTTAAGTCTAAAATTCTATTATCACTTAATTGAATACATGCTCATACTTTTTCTATAAACAAAAAATTAATTTAATAAACATAGCAATAATATTGAGTAAAAATATCTTTTTTATACAATAGTTATGGCAGTGCTTATTAAACAGTAACAAATAATTAATTTTTAATTTTTATAATACCAGTTAAACATGTTGATCGTATTAATTTCGTATTGTTCGTATTAACATACAAACAAAAAGATAGAGAAAGTTCGACACAATTAAATAAACGAGTTGATCGTGTAAATTTCAGGTTTGGCGGATTGAACCCGAAAATGACCCACTTATTACTATTTAAATATGTGAGATGATGAAAAGTAAAAAATGACGTATGCTAAGGGTAATTATGAAAAATCGCATTTTTTGTTATATTTGTTAAGGATAAGACAAGGTGTCATTGTAATTTCAAAAAATCGAGGGGGTGTCTCCGTAATTAGACTAATCTACAGGCGATGTTAATGTAATTTACCCTATACTTTAACACAATCCCTCACGAGCAAGTTAGATTTTTGGCCTAAAAAATTTAGGAATGTGTGTGTGAGAGAGAGACAGAGAGAGAGAGAGAGAAGTTGTACATATACTTCGTTAATTTTTAGCCAACTTATTATTGGTCTTGCAAAATCAAGCAAAACCAACTACTTTAAGGTTCAATTTTAGTTAAGTATCTTACATTACTTATAGATATTTTATTATATAATATAGATTAAGTAATATATACATTCTGACTAGATAAAATAATCTACCAAGAGATCCCAAAAGTCAGCCAACAAAAAGGAGGGAAAAAGGTATTCTACGCAAACCCTACACAAGAACCCATAGTCAAAGGGAATCACTCAGAACTTCGTCTAGGTAGCCATCATAATTGACCTCAATGAAGAATCCATAGACAAATGAAATCAATCAGCAGCTCTGTTCAGGTAGCCTTGGTAACTAATGGATATATCTTTGAGTAAGTGGGGCAAAAAACAGCCACTTTGTACCCAAATCTGAACTGAAAACCCCACAAACTCGATCCAAATGCACCAAAACACTATAAATATCTCAGATCCACAATAGTCGAGCCTAGTCGAGAAGGATTTATTAGAAAACAACTCAAACATTGGTCCAAAATAGCGGATCGCGATTATGAATACGAAAAACCAAAAAAATATTCAAAAAATTTAGAAACCTATCAGATGGCTTTAACAAATTCCAGAAAATTTACCATTATACTTGGAACAAAAAATTAAGTCGATTCATGGTTGTCCCAAAATTTTTTGACATGTTTGTCGCTGACGCTATCATGTCAAGTGCTAACATCAATGCATCAAACTGATTTTGTGTTATGCGAAAGATTTTCGATGAGTTTCGACAATTTTGACATGGTAGATTTGATTGTTGCCTCTAATACCAAGTTAGATTAAGAAGAAATTATGGTTTAAAGGAAAAAAAATAGAGAGAAGCTTATTAGGTTACACAGCTACACTCAACTTTATATATAATCACAAAGTACACAACTACCTTTAGTCTACAATCACCACGTTCTTGATTTGATAAGTTCAGTACTAGTATTCTTCAGTATGGTTTCCAATAATCTACTATGAATCATTCAGTTTTTATTCGTCGTTCTTCCACGTGTTATTATTCTTATTGTATATATTGATGATATTATCATTAGTAGTGATGACTCAGTTACTATTTCGCATTTTAAGATTTATTTGGGGAAGCAGTTTCATATCAAAGATCTAGGACTTCTTCGGTATTTTATTGGGATTGATTTGCCCGGTCAAAGAAAGGTATCAGTTTGTGTCAACTAAAGTATGTATTAGATTTATTGTTTGAAACTGGTACTCTTGGTGCACGTTCAACTGATACTCCCAAGGACTCCACGGTTAAGTTGGATGCTGCGAATGGTGAAATGTTTAATGATGTAGGATATTATCGAAGGTTGATTGATAAGTTAATTTACCTTGTAGTCACACACCCTAATATTATCTATGTTGTTGGTGTGGTTAGTTAGTTCATGTATGCTCATCATAAACCTCATTGGAAGGCTATTTGTCATTCTTCGATATCTGAAAGGAGAACAAGTAAAAGATTATTATATTGTTCTTCATCATCTATAATTGTTACTGATTTTTCTGATGCTGGCCAAGCAAGTAGTCATACTGATAGATAATCTACTTTAGGTTATTCTATATTTATTGATAGTAATTTTGTTATCTGACGCAACAAAAAACAGAATGTGATTGCCCATTTGAGTCTAGAGGGTGAATATAGAGCCATAACTCATACTGGGTGTGAGATGTTGTGGGTTCGTTCACTACTTCGTGATATGGGTATTAGTGTGTCCTCTCCTATGGAGATGCATTGTGACAACCAAACATCTATTTTTATTCCTAGTAATCCGTATTTCATAAGAAGACTAAACATATTGAAGTGGATTGTCATTTTATTCGAGATCTCTCAATGCGTATGGAGATTATCACGCCATATATCAAACCTAGTGATCAACGGGATGACATCCTTATCAAACCATTGGGTCGATATGTCTTTAGTACGGGGCATCTTTGATCTATATGTTCCAACTTGAGGGAGAGTTTTAAAGTTCTTATGTTAAAATACTAGTGTACGGTAATAATTTAATTGTTCATAACATTAGTTTATTATTAAATAAGAAACTATAGGACAACATTGCCAACATAATTGATTATTCTCATTCTCTTTTCGTCTCTCCTCTTCCCTCTTTCTCTTACTACAAAACTATTATTTTACATTTTAACTGAACTAAAAGCCAATGAAGGATTTTTTTAATAACTCGTGAAATATCGTGGATGGGCAAGGATAAGCATACCGATCGTTTTGGATTCATGTTGACCTAAGAAGCATGGACATAGGATATAGATATAACACGACACGAACACACTGACATGGCATTTCTCAAAAAAATAGGACAAGGACAAGTTGGAGACATGCTACAAATAATTATATTTTATGTATAGAATTATATAATTTATCACAAATATAATGATAATGATATATTATTCATAAAAACTTCAATACTTTAGGATAAATAAATGTTATATCTAGTCATCTAGTGTGAATTTTTAGACTAACATATATAATTTAAATGATTTTTCTCATGTGTTCAATTCCCCTTTTCTAAATCTTTTATGTATCTTTTACTTTTGTTATTATATTTTAAGTACAACTTTAACATGTCTAGTCTTGGTAATTTTATATTCTCTAACACTATAAGATATTTATTAGTCAATTTTTTAAACTTTGTTAATAACATGTCAACACATGTTTATTGTTTAGTAGTAGACATAATTCAAAGACGTGTCAAACACATTACCAAAGAAGTGTCGGACACATATCTAAAATTAAAATTTTATTATTTAATTATGGACATAGATAAAAGAGTATCAAGCACATGTCTGAAGAGTGTTAGTCTCCGACACCGATACATCACCTTCCTAAGAGTGCCAGTGCTTCATAAATGTTGACAAGAGACACTATTGTTGTAGCATACCAGTTGATGACATGCTTGTTACAAGTTGACTATCCTAAGGAATTATTGATTTACAACTCTCTTAGCAGGAACTTCTACATTAGTAGGTTTGATAACTTCACGTATTCTATGAGAACAAAAGCAATCGGTCTTGAAAGGGGATTTTAATTTCTCAAAGAAATCATGAGACATTGTTGCATGAAACTGGGGATGGAGAAACAATCCATTGAAGTTTAAATAATCTCAAATTGTAACCAAGGTAAAGGGGATAATGTACTCTATCATGACCCAAGAAGATACATAAGACTACGGGGGAAATAGATTAATCTAATAGTAATCTAATCAGATATACTCTTGTTGTGGTTGTATTTAGTTCTTGGAGTATCCTCATTGGTGGGGTGCAGTATATATTATGCGACATAAGTTATATAAGACTTCTGGGAAAGTGGATTAGTCCAACAGTAATTTGATCAGATATACTCTGCTGTGCTTTGTTCTTGGAGTATCCTCATTGGTGGGGTGCAGTATCTCAAATAAATGATGCAGTGTTATGACCAACTAAATCATGTAAGATAGTTTATACAATGGCCATTAAAAAAGAACTGATTGAGTAGATTGAACACCGAAGCAATATGGCCTTATGATTCAGGCAAGAGTTAGTAAGTGGAAAATAACAACAGAAAAGTCTATAGAGAGATTGTTGGCCCAAAAGCAACCTAAGAGGGGGGGGGGTGAACTAGGTTTTCTTCAAATATGACTTCAATAAAAATCAATTATTGTTTTCTCTAGATGTATATGTATGAACAATATATAAGCAATGTGTGTGAATGTGAACAATCAATATAAATATAAGATTGAGAGAAGAGGAACAAACACACAATTTATAGAAGTTAGGCCCCCACACACTTGGCCTACGTCCTCTCTTCTTCGTCCCCTTAGAGTTTCCTTTCACTTTCTTGAATCTCTTCACATGGTGAGAGTCAAAATCCTTTACAATCTTCTTGACACAAAGACAACACTCTTTCTTAACTCACTTCAAGAAGTACAATAGATTCTCTCTCTCTCGAGTTAGATAGATATCTCACTCTACCCAATCAAAGCTCAAACACAAGAGAGAATGAAGACAAAGAAGGCTTTTTACAAAATTCTTCTCAAGATAAAGACAATGATGGATTCTCTTTCTTTTTGCTTTTGCTCAAGTCAAAATGCCCAAAAAGTTGTCTTTGAAAGCTCACAAGACACTATTTATACATTAGGTGTCTTAGATGATGAGAATGGCAGACTTGTCAAAAAGAAACAGCTTATGACGTAGCTTCCAGAAGTCAATCCAGAATACTGGGTAGGCTACCGGATGTAGTCGTTGCAGCCCCAACAGTCACATCCGGTAGACCGGATAACTTCACACTTCTGCTTAGCCTTCCTCCCATCATACTTCCTTCTTATGCAACATGGCTAGAGCAGCTGTGGCCGAACCCTTGTCAACTTGTCCATAGCTGCTATGTATAAGATCAATTTCCTTTCTCTGGAGCTGCCAGGACTGGAGGATTTAGTAGATCAGGCTGTCAAAGGCATGTTGGCATTTTTCGTCCCATTCATTCAAACGGTACTCCTTTCTTCATTACCTTGGAGAACGGGATCTTCAGAAAAGGGTTGATCCCTTCTTATAGCCTTTGGTTGAGGCATCAAATTCTAGAGAGTTTTCGAAGTCTGCCGGTTACTCATTTGGTAGGCAGGTTCACAGTGTCCAGTAGGCAGATTCACAGTGTCCAATAGACCGGAGCCTTTTAAGCGGTCTACCGGTGTGCCTAACCTTTTGACCTTGCTTCATTTGGAGTCCGGCATACTGGTTAGTCAATTCGGTATACCAATATAGCCTTTCAGCATACCAATATAGCCTTTCAGATGCCTCAACGGGCATACCGGTATAACCTTTCGGATGCCTTTTCCCTTTTTTGATTCCTTCTGTATCCAGCATACCGGATATGCCTTCCGGATGAATTGTCCAGTATACCAGATAACCTCTCTGAATTTTCATTCTTTTTCTCTATTCGTCCTTTTTCTTCATTGGCATGAACACCTACACTTCATCCACACACTAATGCCCACATTAGTCCATATTAGGATGTTTGTTATCATCAAAATCATGCTTAACAAAGCATTGGGACAACAAAAGGGCCTTCTTTTTTTGTCTTTTACTGTACTCCCCATAAAATTCACAATCACAAGCCACCCACTAAATCCCGTGTTACTGGAAATAGAGATGTTGATGTATCACCCAAATTCATGGAATAAAACTCGGATGATACCATACAACATAACCGTACATATCTTTATTCCTTCCCCCAGGTGCAAAACGAAAGCAAACAACACCGCACAAAAAAAAAAAAAACAATTCTTATGCTCTTACGGTCATCCAAAAATTATGAACAAAAATCTGAGACTATCATAATATGGAAATTACCTCATTATGTCGCACAGGCAACTCATCGTACTCAGAAGCACCAGATAGTATGTGAAGGAAAACCTGTGACAAAAAATATATGATATCAAGAATAGTCTATTAAAACATACTACAACTCAACTTATCAAAGCCTTGTCCAAGCATTTTGATTATTGGGATTTGGGACAAGGCTTTGATGAGTTGAGTTGAGCTGTAGGAAGCAATACTAATGCTGAATGATGATTGATGTCCAGATAGTTTGTACTTACTTCAAGTGACGTATATGGACCTATGTTTGAACCAAACATTGACACAGTCAAGTATTTAAGGTAATACTGAGATGCAATTGAACCCAACATCAAAGGCTCTACACTGTCTCCATTGATCTTGATGCATCCACTATCTTCCAAATCTTCAAATGTGTCTTGCACTAAGCTGCCAAAGAAAACATGGCACTATCAAGGATTCAAAAGGTGACTCCTAACCAACTTTATTCTACCAGAGCAGGATAGCTGTCTTATTACCTTGACAAATATGAACTGACAGTGTGGGGTTCTGGATCCTCTAACCCATAATATGCAGGGTTAACCGTCTGTCACATAAATATTGATATCATCAAGAAACACTAACAAATATGAAACCATGTCATAATAAGCCATGTTCTGGCTATTCCATATCCAGGAGATCATCATTTTATCTTTGAAAGCCCCTAGAGATCATCATTGAAAAGGTGAAATACGAAAGGAGACACACAAACCCGGGGACATTCCATATGCTGAAATTTTACCATCAAAATCTATTGGAAAATGTGTAGGGGCATTTTATCACATACATATAATGAGTTAGATTACAACGGCATTAGGGTTTTGGAGAATATCGGAGAACAAGAGATACTACGGCGTTAGGGTTTTGGAGAATAACATAGAACAAGAGAGAAAAAGATTTAAGGAAAGAGTGTAATATATTAGGTTAAACTACTACACCCAACATATATATAGTCATTTAGTACAAAGTACTAAACTACCCTTAATCTAGAAATAATGCATAACATAACACTCTTCCTCAAGTTGGTGCATAGATATCTCTCATGCCTAACTTACAAACAATGAGGTGAAAAACCTTACTATTAAGCCCCTTTGTGAAGAAATCGACCAACTAGTTTCCTAATTTCACTAAAGGCATGCAAATCATACCCTTATTTAATTTTCCCTCAATAAAGCGCCGGTCAATTTCAACATGCTTAGTTCTATTGTGTTGAACTGGATTGTGGACAATTTTGATAGCTATCTTGTTGGCACAGTATAGCCTTATAGGACCATCATCATAAATCTTCAACTCTCTCACTAATCTTTGAACCCACATAAGCTCACAACCCCCATGGGCCAAAGCTTTGTATTCAGTCTCAACACTAGATCTGACCACCACTGCTTGTTTCTTGCATTGCGATGTGACCAAATTACCTCGAATCAACACACAATAGCCTGAAATTGATCTTCTATCATCCATCAACCCTGCCAAATCTGCATCACTAAATACTTCTAGTTTTAAGTAACCATTATTGGAGAGAATGATCCCTTTTCTTTTCCTAGAGCTGACTCATGATACCTCAAAATTTGATAAACTTCTTCAACATGAGGAGCTCGAGGATCATGCATGAATTGACTGACAACCCTAACTGGATAAGCAATATTCAGTCGAGTATGTGACAGATTAATCTCCCCACTAGTCTCTGGTATCTCTTCTTTTTCTAGTACCTCATCACAACTCAGTTGATGGTTGACTTTAATAGAGAAATCTATAGGTCTACATCCTAACATCCCTATTTCTTCAAGAAGGTGCAAAACATACTTTCTCTGACAGATAAAAATGCCTTTATCCAACCCGGCAACTTAATTCCAAGGAAGTATCTCAACGGGCTCTAGTTTTTTATTTCAAACTCCTTAACCAACCTAGCCTTCAATTTGGTGACCTTTTTCCTCATCATTTTCAGTTATCACTATGTCATCCACATATACAATAAGGATGGTGATCTGATCATCAATCAATCAAATGAACATAATATGAATCCTATTCAAAGTAGAGTAGAGATGAACGAGCATAGCAGGACCAAGGAAAAATCCACTACCTCTTTCTGGCAATTTGCCTCTTTCGAGATCTTCTATGACTCTATTAGCTTCTTTCTTCTCACGGAGGTCACTTCGCTCGCCTAAAAAGCAGCTGTGGCACTTTTCAGATCAATTGCTGAGGAGCAAACGATCTTAGCGCTAGCTAGTGTTAGAGAGCTTGCTAGATGAGAGCAGAGCAGACTAGCCCCCTATCTCTAAAGGGGTTTCACTTGGTTAGTTTGATTCTATTTATATCCAAACTTTAATATAGCCTTAAGAAACCTATTAAACCCAGCCCACGAGGATTACTTCAATCCATAAAGAGACTTCTTCAATTTACACACCTTCCCTTAAGTTATTTGAGATTAAAAACATGGAAGAATCTCCATGTACACATCCTTCTCCAAATACCCATGAAGAAAGATATTTGTCGCATCCAATTGCTACAAATTCTACCCCAAATTAGTTGTACAAGAGATCAATGCATGTATGTAGTGACGGTAGTAGAGTGCAAATGGGTGTTCACTATCAAACATCAAGTCGATGGCACAATCGAGAGGTACAAAACAAGATTAGTTGCCAAGAACTTCACCTAAACCTATCACTTATGACATTGAGTATCAGGAGACTTTTACCCCTGTGACACAGATGAACTCCATGCGTGCTCTTCTTTCATATACAGCTAATCTGGGTTGGAATCCGCTACAATTGGACGTGAAGAATATTTTTCTTCATGAAAACTTGAAAAAAGAGTTGTATATGAAAATTCCATCAGGTTTTTTATTCCAGTTAATTGAATGAAAGGTATATATGTTGAAGAAGTCTCTTTATGAGCTAAAGTAGTCTCCCCAAGTTTGGTTTGATAGGTTTCTCAAAGTCATGCTTAAATTTGGATATTAATAAAGTCATGTTGATCATACTATGTTCATTAGATAGTTTGATAATAAGATAATTGTTTTGTGTATTTGGATGACATAGTAAAAACTTGGAACGATGTGCAGACAGTCACCAAACTTAAAGTCCATTGGCTAAGGAATTTAAAATCAAAGACTTAGATCCATTGAGATACTTTGTTAGAATTGAGGTTGCTAGATCAGATAAAGGCATTTTTTATCTCCTAGAGAAAGTATATTCTTGACCTTAAAGAAACATGTATGTTAGGATGTACACCTATAAATTCTCCCATTGAAGTCAATAATCAATTGAGCAGTGGAATTGGTGATGTAGTTGATAATCAAAGATTAGTAGGGAGATTGATATATCTCTCACATACTCGTCCAGATATTGATTATATAGTGGGTGTTGTTAGTCAGTTCATGCATGGTCCTCGAAATCCTCATCTTGATGTTATTTATTATATTTTGAAGTATCTCAAGTTAGCTCCAGATAAAGAAATTCAATTCTCCAAACAGGGTCACTTGTAGTTAGAAACATTTACTAATGCAAAGTGGGTAGGTTCAGTGGATAACTGGCGATCTACTTTGAGCTACTGCAGCTTGATAAGAAAAAACGTTGTTACTTGGCAAAATAAAAAACAAGAATTTGTAACTAAGTTTGGCGCTGAGCCTAAATATAGAGCAATGGCTTATGGAATTTGTGAGTTTATCTAGCTTAAAACCTTGTTGAGACAGCTCAAAATTTATGAAGATGCACCTATGAGACTGTCCTATGATAATAAGGTTGCTATCAATATTGCTCATAATTTAGTTCATCATGATAGAACCGAACATGTTGAGATTGACCAACACTTTATAAAACAAAAGTTGAACAAATATTTGATTTGCATGCTTTTTGTGAAATCAAAAAACCAATTGGCCAAGATTTTCACCAAGGGACTTAGTAACAAGATTTTTCATCCTGTTGTTTATAAGTTAGACATAAGAGATATCTATACACCAACTTGAGGGTGAGTGTTAGTTATGTTAGTTATGCTTTATTTTTAGTTTGAGGCTATTCTTGTACTTTGTGCTTATATATGTAAGTTGGGGTGCAGTGTACCCTATGACATTACACTCCACATCCTTTTGTCTCTCCTTTTCCTCTTCTCTCTTCCTTTTTTTTTCAAATTTTTAGAAACTTCTCAACAAACTTTAGATTATGGAACTGGGGTTCTTTGAAATTAAACGAAAATTAAGGTTATGAAGTGTGATATTTTTTTAAAATTGAAATTGTATTAGTCATTAATTGTTGGATCATGGATGTTTATGATGAATGCATCAGTCTGATATTTGACTTAGTCTGATATTTGACTTATTATTCGATGATTTCATGATGTTAAGGTGTTAGAATTATAGAAAAGATGAACTGAATGAATATTATTAATATAAATATTTATTTTATCATATGATCATTTATATAAAAAATAAATACTTAATATTTCGCATGTCCCCCCAACATGTCCATGTCCTATTTTTTTTTGAAAAATCCCATGTCCATGTCATGTCGTATCCATGTCCTTGCTTCTTAGGAGGCAAGGCAATCAATCCTGAAAGGTTCACTTTCTCTATTTCATCTAATTTGACTTCATTTTTTCAATATTTTTCTGCGTAAGACTTACTATGGTTCCATGAAATTTTGACTTAACATGCCAACTTGAGCTTTCTGGACCATCAGAAAAACCAATCTTTTGAAGTTTGAACAATAATTTAAGATCAGTTCAGACAGTAGGCAGTGCTAATCATCTTTTGAATGCATAATGAGATCATCGTAACTATACCAATCTCCGAAACAAATAAGTCCACGTGAGATAATGCAAGGCATCCTCTTTATGACAAATTGTTCCAGAAACTATCTCAGCATTGATGTGCTCATGTAGCTGCTCCCTCAGACTGCTTTCGACTGGAAATGGTTCATACAGAAACTGCAAGGGGAAACATCGATTCTTACATCAATTTTGGAAAATATGGCCACTAAAATACTCGCATCTGTATTAAAACATTACAATTTTTATTCAACCTTTTTATAGAAGCTTTTTTTGGGTTCATGAACAAGAATGACAGCTTTTCCATGTTGATCATACTGTGGTCTCCCCGCACGACCCATCATTTGCAAGATATCTGTGATGGGAAAATCCACATATCGCTTCGCTTTTCCGTCATAATATTCTGTTCCCTGCAACACACACTGATGTTCAATTTGAAAGACTAAGAGAGATATAATACAGGGTATGTAGCTGACAGTAATGCACACCAAGAAGTGCAACAGATGTCCTTTTGTCCCATTTAGTGCGGGTCAGACAAGCCTAGATCAATGCTCATATAGGCAGCATAATTGAGTTAAAAGCAGCAGAAACAAAATTGCAGTGGCAGCCAATCAGTATGAAATAAACCTACCGACAATCATATTAATGCAACTTACACAAAACATACATAATATTATGATGTGAATTATACCGTCTTTCAAAATAGTAGCCATCACAAGTATACTTTGACTGATTCATTGAATACTCATGTCCCTTCTTAATTTTTTCCAGCCCATCTTAATTCTCTTTTTCTAATCTTCTCTTTCTAATTCTTCTTCCAAATCTACATTATTTGGTATTAGAGCTTTAATCAACATCCACTAGTATCGAAGCTATTGATCTACATAATATTTATGATAGAGCATCCAACTCAGTAACCAATTGGCAATGAGTGGAGTAGCACTTTCAAGTATATTAACCAACCTTGGGTAGTCCTAATTCTTCGATGTGGGATCCAAGTTCTTCACACACCCTCCCTCACATGGGACCCCAGCTTGCACGTGGGGCAAACAAACCACCATGTTTACCGAAAAATTCAAATGGGTAAGATACTTGGTCCATTGACCACCCAAGACCCAACCTTAATACCATGTTAGAGCATCCAACTCAAAACCAATTGGCAATTAGTGAGTAGTCCCTCAAATATATACACCAACCTTGGGTGGTCCTAATTATTTGATGTTGGATATAAGCTCTCTTCACAACTACATCTAAAATTTTCTAGTGTTAAATCGCAACTTAAACCAACAATTATCAAAATGGTAGTTTTCTATTAAAAGGAAGGGAATCTTTCTGTCATATGTAAGAGAAGGGACGGAAAGGAAAAGTAAGCAAGGTTACGCAAGTACGGTACACTTTAAGAAACATGCAATAAATAAGCTCACTAGCTACATGCCTAAGCTTTTAGGTGAGTGTGTTGCAAACATGTGTACAGCATGTCTTGCAAACTCCTCTCGTCTCCCCACTGGTGGTAAATGCTAAGACTTCTTAGGCCGAGAACCAAGATGGATGAGGTGAGGTAAGATGAGACTGAGATACAAAGCAATGGTAGAGGGAGGTAGATAAAACAAAATTAATTGGGTCAAAGAAGTTTGGTACAAGGTACTGGAATTAAAAAGAAAAAAAAAAAAAAAAAAAGACGACCAATCCCATAACAAATCTCTCAGAAGTAAGTAAATGAAGAAAAACAATGTTAAGTCACAAAAGCTCTTGACCCACTCCTTTGTCATTTGTCCTTAGTCATCTTCTTTCCAAAGACAAGCAAAGTGGAAAACAAAGGAATGACGCCTCCTGCGCCACTGCACCACCAACATCACGTTGGAAACTTGGAAATCAAGAGAAGAAGGAAGCATTTCATTTTCTTTCCACGTTGCATCAGGTGCCACCGTTGACAGAGCATTTTCAACAATGAAGATTGTGAAGTCTGAGTTATGTAATCGAATGGATAACAAATAGTTTGATTACTTACATAGAAAAAGACATTTTCGATGACATTGATAATGAAATTTTCATGGAACGCTTTCAAAGTATGAAAACTCATCGAGATCAATTGTAAATGATTGTAATTAGCCTCATTTTTTTTTGTAAAAAGTTATAATTAACTTATTTTTAGTTATTTTTTGTTTGCATTGAATATTTATCAACTTTAGACCCTTTTATGTTTAATGAATTTTTAAGTATTAAATATGATGTAGAAAAACATAAATATATCACATTATTTTTATTTATTAGAGGACAAAATAAAACTTGTAGTTAAAGTATGCCCACCACCCTATATCATATTCCTAGCTTTGCCGCTGATACCAAGTTCATATATATGGTCCAATAGAAGCACCATACAACCCTAAGGGAAAATGTCGTTATTCTATTTATGTGATAGTCTTAATCATTGAGATTCAAAACGTGTTTTGAAACCATGAGCCCGAGGGAAAAGTGGATAATACCTCTGATGGTGGGACTAGGGCACTACACAAAGTCAACGGATGATGTCCCCAAGTGACCTCTCGAAGAGGTGGCACGTCAGTATTGATTATGAATTCTTGGAGTTAGAGTGACGATATCATTATGGTGACATAATGGTGAACTACTAGGCTAGCACCACTCTTGGTGGTCACACGATGTTCTCTAAGCAGAGTAAGTCTGGCTGCCCCTTAATACAATGTCGAAGCAGTTGGCCATTGAAACCTTAATGGGACAGAGTAAGATGTTGCTAAGCGTAGGCTCTTGACGGAGGGATGCAGACTCATTAAGAGCAATTAAAACTTAGTTGAAGCTCGCCTTTTATATGACAGGGAGATTGTTCAACAAGGCCTAACATACTTTAAAAGAGGTCAATTCCAAAATTGCATACTAAATCGAATCAAATTTAGAATCCTAACAAAGACTTAGGATTATCTAAATAAAGTTTTCACGCTTAGTCCAGTTGAATCCTCCCCCAAGTACAAAGAATGTTTTTTACATTGTGGAAAATCAAGGTTAAAGAAATGCTTAGTGCCGAATCTACAACAAAACTTGGAAGTCCAATAAAAATAGTTTCTCAAATTTGTGAAAGTATGTACGTTATTTTTGACTTTGTGTAGAGCCCTAGTCCCACGGTATAATCAATATATATCCTTTGTAGGCCCGAACCCAATCTTTGGAAAATCTAAAGAACTATAAGTAACAAAAAAATTGGAAAAAAAACAAGATAAAACAAACAGATGAGATTTATGAACAATACTATATATAAGAGCCACAAAAACACCAAAATAAATTATAGGCTGAACTTTGTAGAGATCTAATGACAAGTATTGAAACTTTAAGAACTTTATTTGAGATCAAAAATCAAGTAATTTAAACTCAGGTGAGATCATGTCAGGTGCTAAAAAAACACAGCATAAAAATGGACAAATGTCCATGGTACAAAAAAAAAAAAAAAAGAAAGAAAAAACACACCAAAAATGGATAAGTGTCCATTGATGTGGCATTTACATCACCACCATACCATAAGCAAATGATGTGTGAAGATTTGTAGGCCAAGTATTGCATCCTATAAATAGGGTGCCAAACTAGTGAAGCAAACCATAGGGAAAAAACAAAGTAAGTAAGAGGAGGAGCAAGGAAGCAAAGAGAGAAAAAGAAGAAAGGAAGAAAAAAAGAAGAAAGGAAGAGAAAGAAAGAAATAACGAGGTTTTATGTTCAAAATTAGATGGTGATTTTAGTCTTAAATTCCATGAAATTGGGGTGTGTTGTTCTGAAAATGGTGGTTATCAAATTTATCGATATCCCTTGTAGATTTAGGGTACCGGGTAGTACACAATATGCTCTTTGCAAAGAGTGATCTTTTGATCATCTAAAATTTATATTCCTATTAATTATTTTCTATTCATATGAAATTCTGAATCTTTTGTTAAGCTAACCTGAATTTTGGGCTAAATACTTTGAGAGTGATCAGTACATGTACGAAGTATGCTTAGGGCATAGTTTGTGAAACATGATTGTGGCCCTACAGGGTGTGATTATCGTCCTGTTGGGTGCAATTGATTAGTAAAATAGATCCATGATTGCCTATCAATTGAGTTCCTAGTTAATACCAAAAATAGAGATCTAATGACAATTATTGAAACTATAAGCATTTTATTTGGGATAAAAAATAAAGTAATTTAAACTTAGTTGACAATTGTCATGTGTGAAAAAAAACAACATAGAGCATAAAAATGGACAAGTGTCCATTGAGGTGGCATTTACATCACCACCATACCATAAGCAAACGATGTGTTAAGACTTGGAGGCCAAGTATTGCACACTATAAACAGGATGTCAGACTAGTGAAGCAAACCATAGGGAAAAACAAAGGAACTGAGAGAAGGAGCAAGGAAGAAAAGAGAGAAAAAGAAGAAAAGAAGAAAAAGAGGGAAGGAAGGAAAAAGAAGAGAGGAAAAGAAAAAAAGAGGATGGGGGAAAAGAGAGAAATAATGAGGTTTTAGGTTCAAAACTAGATGGTGATTGTAGTCCTGAATTCTATGAAATTGGGGTATGTTGTTCTTAAAATGATGGTGATCAAATTTATCAATAGCTCTTGTTGATTTAAGGTATGGGATAATATACAATATGTTTCTGTCTATCAATCCCTTTGCAAAAAATGTTCTTTTGATCAAAAATTTTTTTCCTATTGATTATTTTTTGTTGATATAAAATTATGAATCTTTTGTTGTGATGCCCTATATTTTGGGCTAAATACTTTGGGATTGATTGATACATGTAGAAAGTGCGTTTAGGGTAACAGATCATTCAATATTGCACTTAAGTAACGGGTAATATTTTTCTTGTTTAAGTTTATGACGTTGTGATCAAATGTGATGACTTTGCGGGTATTGCCAAGTTAAATCCATTTCTAAGCATCAATTTCACACCAAAATTCTAGGCAAAAGTAGATACTTACTTGGTATTGAAGTTTCGTGATATAAACATGACGTTAGCTAGTCCTAATGAAAATATGAGTTGCATCTTTAGAAGGAAATAGGGCTTCTAGGTGCTCAACCAGTTGATACCCCTTTGTGAATCCAAATCATAAACTCCCAATGACTCAAGGTGACCCTTCTTATATCCTAGACAATATTGTTGCCTAGTTTTGAAGTTAAATTACCTCATTATTACCTATCCAGATTTATCATACGCAATCAGTGGGGTAAGTGAGTTTATGGACGCACCCAGGGAATCAATTTGGGATGTCATTTGTATAACCTGATAACTCAAACGAGCTCCCAAACTTGAATTGTTGTACCAGTCACACAGGCACAAAGGCTCACGAATGCAGATTGGGCATGTTTCCGATCATATGGATAAGACAATCTACTACAAGACATTAAGCTTTTTTGGGAGGAAATCTAATTACTAAGAGTAAGTAGAATACAGGGCTAGCACAGTCAAGTGCAGAAGCTGAGTATAAAGCAATGTCTTACACTATAATGAGTTAATATAGGCAGTATGGGTGACCTAAATTTTGGTATTTTATTTGAACGTGGACAATGTCGTTTAATTAGGAAATTTTTGAAGATTTATTTTATTTTCTAATTTAGTTAGAAAATTATTTTATTTTATTTTATTTTATAATTCCATTAAGATTTTATTTTATTTGGTTTCTTAATTATTTAGGATTTCTACTGCTATATAAATGCATGCAAGCATTAGAGCAAAACAGTTTTTGATTAATACAATTGAGAGAGCTTCTCTTTTATTTCTAATTATTTTGGTATTCTTATGATCAACAAATCAATTGAAGCCTTTAGAACTGGTATTCTTGTGAATCAACAGCTCTAGAATAGGATTTTAATTGGGTATTTTTGCGCAAATCAACAGTTTAGTTTCACTAGTTCTTGACATGAAGTTCGAAAAATTATTTTTTAATAGTGAATCATCTTATATTCAATATGAAGTTGATTGAAATTTACCCCCAATATCCGATGAATACTCTGATGATGATTCTCTAATTCTCAGAAAAGTCGATTGTGTTACCTTGATATATAATAAATATCTTGAGGTTCATTATTTGGTCATTACTGAAGATTTGAAAGGATTAAAGGACCTAAGGGAAGACATGAGAGTTGTCCTTGTAGATCTGCCAAAGCAACACCTCTTTTTTGTTTGTAACCGTAAGATGGGTACCTTTCCAAACAAAAACTTTCATGGGTGTTTTGATGCCAAATGTTTTGATGAGGAGGAAAGTAGCGATCTGTTGTGGTTCAATCAGATCGAGATGAACAAGAAAACTATGATCATCACAAAACTTAAAAACAAATTTTGGGATAATCGAATGCCTAAATTCAAGCAAAAATCGAAATATCCAATCCAAATTTGACATGCCGGACGAAAGCCAAAATTCAAGCAAGAACTCAAATATTAAAGCAAATTCGAGGACGAATTCTTTCCAACTTGGGAATAATGATACAGAATTGGTGACCCGAATTTTGATATTTCATTTGAACGTGGTCAATGCTGTTCAATTAGAAAATTTTGGAAGATTTATTTTATGTCCTAATTTAGTTAGAAATTATTATTTTCTAATTCCATTAAGATTTTATTTTATTTGGTTTCCTAATTATTTAGGTTTTTAGTTTTCTAGTTTATTTAGGGTTTCTAGTGGTATATAAATGCATGTAAGCCATAAGGCAAAACTGCTTTTGATTGATAAATACAATTGAAAAAGCTTCTCTTTTATTCCCAATTATTCTGGTATTCTTATTAATAAACGGATCAATTGAAGCCTTTAGAACTGGTATTCTTATGAATCAACAGCTCTAGAGTAGGATTCTAATCTGGTATTTGTGCACAAATCAACGGTTTAATTTCACTATTCCCTTTCATTCATTATCCACCCTTATTCTACCACTTCCCAGCATCAGTTAATATAGTTACAAACACTTTGTTCCATGAACAAATAAAACATATTGAAACTGACTGTCACTTCCTTGGGGTTGCATGGAGATATCATTAGGCCATTTGTCAACTTGGAGGATCAATTTGTTGACATGTCTACTAAGTTATTGAGTAGTGCGCGAATAAGAGATCTTTATTCCAAGCTGAGATTATATGGTGTATTCACCATCTTAAGGAGGAGTGTCAGAGCATAGCATGGGTGATACTACTGTTATTAGCATGTACTCTAAAGGGCATATTTATCTTTTACTACTATTTCCATACTTCTATAGGTGGGGTCAGATAGGTGGTAGTATTACACTATCTCTCATGTTTCTCTCCTCTCCCTTCTCCTTTCTAAACCTTAATTTACACATTCACAATATGTATACATACAGTACACCATTTTGGCTCACCTTAATTATAACCAAATGAGCTGGCAGATTTACACCCCATGCCAATGTGCTTGTGCAGACCAATACCTGAAATGTCATAGATTTTGTATATGCAATCAGTAAAAATCAGTATGAACATAAACTCTTTTCTGAAGAACTACCTTCTTTTCACGTATAAAAGACAATAGTTCAGGTGATTTAAATTGCCTGAATCTTGTTGTTTGCAAAAAGTTCCTCGGTTAGAGATCTATCCTTGTCATTGAGTCCTGCATGGTGCAACCCAATGCCAAATTGTAATGTGTGTCTCAGGTTCTGATCAGAGACCTGAGAAAGAATCATCTGTAGTGCTTCTTCTGGCATACGTAGAAACTGCCTAGGATGCTCGTCTGAAGCTGCAAACTTCAATTGCCCAAAAGCATGACACTAAATGCCTGTAATATTGGAAAAATGAATATCTCAAGCAAACTAGAAGATCTCACTTGAATGAGGTCCAATGCAGTAAGCCTTGTCTGGCGACGAGATGAAACAAATATCAGAACGGGTTTCGTGGGAGAATGAGTGCAAATGGCAGCATAGGTGGGCTTATTCATGCTGTTCATCCTTGGGCAGTAGAACTTCCCGGGGTATCCCTGAATAAAAAAGCGCACCCCAGTTATTGCAGTACAAGACATAAAGCAACTGTAAAAAAGCGCACCCGAGTCATACACTTCCACGATAACCAACAAAGGTGAAAGCTAACACAATGGTAAAAAGGTTGAAAAGGAGGGCATACACCCATCCAATGCACTTTAGACAAAAATTGGCCTGCTAGATTAACATGCACATATACGGAGCGGATAGTCTTTCTTTTCACCTTATCCTTACAGACCAGGTAAAAATTGTACTCAAGACTATTTGCTCTGTAGCAAGGACGTGATAATCTCTGTCAACGGAAATAGCATATCGTCACTTAATATTTCCCATGGTTATTGTAATAACTCATCATCTCAATCCTAGAATAAGTTTCCTCCTATAATATTGATTGGATCATCTTGACATCTATTCCTGCAAACCTCATGTCATAACCTACCTCCCTCCAGAGGAGTTTTTTACACCACTATAATCAGAAAAGGTAAGTTTCACAAAAATGAATCTCTTGTCCTATAACTATACGTGGTGTTGTATTGCTCATTCATTACCCTCCAATCAGTAATATATTGAAGATCACTGTTTTAGTGGAACATGGTGAATCATACTACAGGTTGGTCGCATGCCACATTGTACGTCCATCATTTTTACTTTGGAGGTGGTTCTCCCCCAGTGTCTATTGACTGCTTTTATTTTCCAAATACCTCTAAGATCTTGCCAAGGGCCAATCAACACAAGAGCAGTTATAGGCACACACCTGCTACACGCCAACCACAGTGGCTTTATATGATGGAATATATTATACAACTGTACAGTTCAGTGAGTGGAACATCATTAGCTAATTAAAGAAGACATCTAATTGCAATATAGGTCTGATAAAATTTGTTGTAATAGTAAAAATTTTCTCCCTAAAGTATTTCTGGGAAGTTTATATGGATGGAAATAAAATATGCATAATCTTTTTGAAACAAAGAAGCACCGTCAACCACGACTAAGACCATCACTATCAAAAATTGAAAAAAAGACTGGAGTAAGGTATATAAAAATAAAGCCAAGAAGCAAACCCAATGTGTGCACGACTAGAGGTGCCGTGTGTGTGTGTGAGAGAGAGAGAGAGAGAGAGAGCAAATATTAATAGCACTAACAAGTCCTCAGGTATCTTTGTCTAGACATTCGACAACAATTGGCTGTCATTAACTTCTAAAATTGCCCCTCGGCTCCCTCGGCTCTTAATCAGAAGTTCTATAATCTCTAATGTTTATGGGGCATTTCAAACATTCTCAAAAAAATTTCAAACTTTATTAATGCTTTCCATCTTGTCAGCTGCTTATCGACTTTTGTCTCCTATACTCTATAGGGCATTCTTTTAAAAACAACTATATATTGCTAGAAATCACCACCGGATTGGTGGTTCAGTGGCATGCAGTGCCAAGTTTAGGATTTTCTTTGACTCCCATTTCGATTCACGAAAACTCCCGCTGCTCCCCTATCAGCTCTGTGGTGCGAGGGTTAAGCTATGGCTCGACTCGACCTTATGGAACGCCTGCAGTTTCCCACCATCTAGGGTCCACGGGTGGACTTCTCTCGTAGATTCGGGCTGCTATGGTCACACCCAGGCAGGGTTCCACCCCAGTTGGTCCCTCGAACCCTCTTTTTGGAACCCCAAAAAAAAATTTGCCGGAAATCTCTTTTTGTATAGAGTACTACAAAATTCAAAATCTTGAACTTGGCTTACACATGTACGGAGATTGAGGTCAAAGTTCAAGGGTGATTTTATAATTTCACCAAAATTTCAAAAAACGATTTCTAGTGGTAAATCAATGCTTTTTGATATTTGTAGCCTACAATTGATTTGGAGTCTCTAATTGAAATGCAGAATGACAGGACAAAACATGCCAAAAGGAAAAAAGCGTACAATCATTAGTGGGGCCTCTCATATAAGCCTACCCCCCAAGTCTAAGTCTACCCCCCAAACTGAGTGTCTAGAATAGCACTTCGCATATCATGAATAAGTTCTATATGAGATGATGTATTATATGTTATTGTGTAATGTATGATAACATTGTTGATGCATGTCTACTAGACCCTAAAACTTGCATCATTAACAAATTATCCACTCAGAAGAAATTTGTACACAACATTACACCAAAAGATAAACCATACATATGTGTGTGTGTACGTATGCATGATTACATCTATGTGCATGTATATGGGCACACGTGTATTTCAGAGGACATAGAAGTTTAAATCAGTTGGAACAGCAGAATTATGAGCAAAAACTAGCATACACTTGCCTGTATATGAACTTCTAGAGGCACAGGCCTCACACTAGGCTTGAAATTGAATAGACCAATATCCTCAACACCCAGCCAGTCAGCCAAATCACTAAATAAACAACATGTTAGAATTACACAAAATATTGTACTCCCTAGTGAGAAACAGAAGTGAAACATTCCTATAAATCCATAGAAACATTCCTATAATTTTTTAATGAACAAATAGACCTTGAAAGCCAATGAACACTAAATCCAATGAACTGGTAGCCAGTAAAGCGTTTTTGTAGCAAATATGACATACTTAGCTGTGAAAATATTATGCGTTGCAAATCAACAAACAGTATGGTGAAAGAGGGGAGTAGACCACATCAACACGCAGCGAGATAGAAGAGAAATATGGTTAATTGTTATTTAACACAGCATATAGCTCTAAATGTAACAGAATCCTTCATTCAGCTGACCCGAAATAATTGAAGCTTTACCATGTTTGATTTGATTTAGAGGCAAATCCACAAAAAAACGAAATGAATTCAAAAGCTGGCAATGACAGATGTACATGCTTGACATGTGCAGTGTGCATGACTTCAATATGACATCAAACAGAAAAAGAAGCTCAACAAAAGCAAAAGTACATATAACATACTGTGCATTTGCTAAAGCTGTTGAAAGACCAACAAAGCGAACTGCACGCTCTGTTTGTGATGATATGTATCTCCATCCTTGAGACGATAACCTAGGAACATAGATGAGGTTAATAGCAGCATTAGCATGTTAGTAAATTTCATCAAGATACTGAATTCAATATCAATATGACCATTATGTACTTCCAAATCCAATACAACCCCTAAAATTCTCGTG